TATATATATATATAAATATAATTTCGAAAAGTAATATTTTAATTTTAAAAATAAGAGACAAAAATATCTCATATATGTAGTAGCTTAAATAAACGAGCACAACATCACAATCAATGCATCTATCCTAAGGGATAGATATATTCCTTGATAGTAAAACTCTATCAAGTAAACTAAGGGTTCGTTTGGAGCTGCTTATTTAGCGTTTTCGGAACGCCGGGATAGCGTTTGAATAATGCGTTGGGGCTGGCGGTGAATGGACACGCTAAGACTTTATGCTATTATTCGTTCTTTCGTCCGCCGCTCCCATTACTCTGCATTTCACGTTTACTCACAAATTATTATTCAGCTGCACCTCGATCCCATCTCGCCGTCGTTGCCCTAGATCTGCGATCAAACTCCTCAAATCTCAGCTCTGCTCTTCAATCCCGTCTCGCCATCGTTGCTCTAGCTTCTGGAACGAGGAGGGGAGGATCCAGTGGAGTTCCGATTGTCCTGTGCTCACCACCAAGGGGGAGTTGCAGGCCGAGACTTCCCGTCAGATGCTTCATGGCGACTCGTTTGATGTTTGCTTCACCAGGTACTAATATTTCCTTTCTGTAGCTTGATCTTTATTGCTGCGCTTCTAGCTTCATCGTATTCATTTCTTCACAAAATTTATTTTCGATTACTGCTTTCTGTTCAATTTGTTTCATCCTTTGATTCCTATTATGGACTCTCAAGTGAAAGTGTACTTGTATTGTTGGGGAAAATTAAACCAAAGTTCTACAAGTATGGCCACTGTCTATTTTTAGTTCTTTGACTTGCATTCATTGTTTTTAGTAAAATCAAATTTTCTAAAGAAAATTTTATTAAATTATTATTTTGACCTGAATTATGTTTATTTTCCAACTCATATCCACTTTCATCCTTCCTCTCTAAATTCGGTCATTACTAGGAGCTATCTGATTATTACCATATGTCGGGTAATAAACCACAATTTTTATACTAACCAGTGTGGGAGATTCTGGCATATGTTTGATAATAATCAATTATAATCTTTTTGTAACCATCTGCTGATAGAAAATAATCAGATTGAAGGAGGAAAAGTGAGATGATATGCAGATCTTTTAGAGGGAAAAAATTCTGCACCAATTCTAGATTATCCCAACACCAATCTGTTTATATTTTGATCTTAAGACAGAGTTATAAACCAATCGAGTAGATATTAATTATTTCAAGCTTGTTCAATTATTTTATTATGTCATATTCAAGTTGATATAATAAGTGTATTCTATTTTTTTTTTTTTGAACTGTTCTGTAACAGTTTGAGGTTTATGTTCTGTGTATTATTTCTCTCATACAGTTCTGTCACAAACAGTTTCACCAAACAGGGGGCAGAATGGTCATTTATCCAGTAATAACTATCAATAAGCTATTCTGAATAAGCTCCCCCAAACAGCAAACCAGCTTATTTTGATAGTCTGCAAATTATCAAATTATCAGAATAATCTACTTATCAGCACATTATAAATAATCAACAGCTGTCCCAAACAGATCCTAAGAAATTTATGACATTTGCTCTAGTCCGCGAAATATTTTTATGTTGATCGATAAGTTCTCTTATCTAATATAGAAAATTAGATAAGATTTATCTTAAGATGTGTTCTAAAGTTTCCTATAGAGGTATACCCCTATAGTTAATTACATCTTAAGTAATTGAAGTCACTTAAGAATACTCTCGATTCAGATCAGTGGCATTGCTTTCCAGAATTTCAAAGTTTAAAGTTTTCAAGATTGGACATTGAAAGTTCAAAAGGTAATGGATCAAATGGAAATAGTTATTTTCAGGAATCCAAAGGAATGAAAAGTATGAGATGTCACTAATCCGAGGGAAACCTCGGTGACTTCTCAAACTATCCTACTATTTAGATTCAATTTTGAGAAAATATTATTTGATGTTTTATCCTGTCAGTTTTATTATTTAGAGCTTACACTTGCATGACACAGTCATACAAATAACCTTGAAGGTATGAGAGTTTACATCGTAACAAATGACAACTTAGGAGTCTAAAACTAGTTACGGATTAAATTGCACAACAAGACTGTGCAAAAGCCTAAAAATAAGTTAAGGAGTTATGTCATACTAGATGAGCTGCCTCAAAATCCTATGGCTTGTTATTTAATTCTAAGGAAAAGTTTTTTATTTTAGATTGGTGTCCTCCGCTTACTCTAGCTTGCTTTGAGCTCCTCGTCAAATGACAGCTCCAGATAAATACTTTATGTCTTATGCTTTTTCTTTCAATCATTATTAATCCTAATAATTAACAAGTATGTGTTTGGGTTTTGCAGTTATCCACCCTAAGGAAGCCAGCTATTGTTTTCTTTCCTAATGGTCTTGTGATTGCAAAAGCAAAAATAAAAGGATAGAAAAAGAAAATTTTGTAATAAAATTGTTGTAATTATTTAAATTATCGTACCTGGGCCTCTGTTACCCCTGCATGGTTAACATCATAAAGCATAATATATTTTTGGGAAATTTAAATAAATTATGTGAAAGTAAACAAGCGGATTCGATACGAGAAAAGTCTGAAAACGAGTTGTAGTAAAACACAAGCCAGTAAAAGGAAACCCCCATAGACACATATGGAAGATCAAAACTCAGTGTAAGACATTGGTAAAGATGGGTGCTCAGAGCGGGATTGTGTGATTCTCAAGCTTGAGTAAGAGCTACCAACCTGATAAGCTACAGAGGGCAGTCTTAACCTCGATCTAAGTGATTAACCATGGACCCTTATAAGATTTCATTTTAATTTAATTTTCAAGCATGTAAAACTTACCTTAGCAAGCAAAAGTAGCTACGTTGTAAAAAGGATTGTTGTTTAAAATTTTTCATAGTCCACAAGATAATTACTCTAATCAAGCTAGGACTAGTGGCAACTTAAAAGTATTGATACGATATTTTTTATATGTAAGTATTGATGAAGTGGACACCACTCAACAGTGCCAAAAACTTGATGTTGGTAGATTTATAATAAATATGCAATATAATCTCAATAAAATTACTTTTTTTTAAAATAATTTATCTTTTAAAACTTCTTTTTAAACTTTCAAATCCCTTTAAATATCAACACAAATATATGTATCGTTCAAGTAATAAAGGGTTCTAATGGAGTCCTAGATATCGATCCAACAAGGAAGTTGGAAAATCACTAATGTAAATTATGAAAATTATTTTATAACAAAAACAAAAAAAATAAAAGTAAAGTGCAAAGTTCAAAAATTAACTACTCAGGTGAATGCTAATTAAAATGCACATGTAAGACTACAAAAATTAAACTAAGCTAAATGTTAAACTTTCAAAAGTAATATTGCGAAAACTAAACAAAGTTTTTGTTATGACGGAAAGTTCAAATTTAAGACAGCATCATTCCTCTTTAGAATGAGTATATGTATTGTGAAGAAAGTGAAATCATTTGAAAATATATTTAAAAACTGTTTCATGTCAAATAGGAGCAATCATATTCTTTGCCCTCTTCTGAGTGCTATAAAGAACATTGACTAATCCAGAGTTTGGTCCCTAATTCCGTGGTTAGGCTGGGAGGATACCGACTGCCACTCCAGAGCTCC